ACCAATACAAAACACACAGCAAATAATAAACATAATATATATATATATATCTATATTGAATAAGTATAAATAAAGGAAAATCATCCTAAACACAAATTCAACAAAAATATTGGACCTCTAAATAACAATATACAAATAACAATTACACACACGGAAATAATTATTGCCAATCCATATATTAATATGCTTATCAATAGTGTTCCTGTATTAGCCTCAAGAATAACAGAAAAGACTTGTAATGTGTTTCTTTGTCATTTTTAAGACCAATGTGTCTTTTCTTTAACTGTAAGACACTAATATTTAACAGTTGCTGTATTGCATGAGGTTTGATTTGAGCATGTTAAATATAGACCGGCTGCATGATGTCTACCACATTGCTAGAACATATTAATCAAATTGATTTTAAGAGCATTCCTACTTTTGATTTGATTTGAAGTCTATGAACACTGAACTGTATATGATAATACATGAACAATATATATAAATGGATGCTTAAAAGGGATTCAGTTTTTTGACATCTACATAACTGATAACCTAAAATCTTAAAAATATAAGTCTCCAAAATGAGCTTGTCTTCAGAATAGATCCTAGATTCCTTGCAGGGAAAAGTTTATTGAAAATAAGTCAGTTGCAACTAAAACTAATTCAAATAAAATCTATAATATTGATATGTTGATGAGTATCCTCATAGAAGAGTTTAGTTTTCATTCATCGAGAGAATCATTACTCATTTATATACATACTTTCATGAGAACACATTGTATGAAAACATGATTTGTAATAACTGAAATCCAAGATGGCATTTCTGTATGGTAAAAAAAAATTCTCAAAAATATGCTGCACTCCAACTGCAGCTCAAAGTACAGTGAAATTAAACTGGCCTCAATTATAAGCAATAAAATGACTAATGAAACTTATTTACAAATTTTTTGTTAGTTACAACCTTTCAGCCTGTCAGCAGTAAATTTATTACATTAATGTGTACAATTCAGGTTGAGCTGTCGCAATTGATCTACTACAATACTACAAAACATTTACATGAAATAATGATATGTATTAACATAAATCAGAAATATCACTAGTGTGTTCTCCACTTCTTTTCTAAAGAATCTAGTAAGCCACTAATTAGAAATAGACATGTGCTTACCCTTAAAAAAAGGACCCAACTCCTCATTTTTTTTAACAGAGTTTATACTATATTGAAGGGATGTATTCATGACATCCCCTGTAAATAAACCTCCTCTAGAGGTCTATAAGTCTACACCTCACATCCTAAAAGTAGACAATGTCTAAATACATACAAGTTATCATGATATTCAATTTTTATTAGAATTAATGCAGCAGTTTGTAGTTGTCCTGATGGGATTTTAAAGGAAACAAATCAGAGACCAAAAATTTTAGTAACCATAGCAACAATCTCTGATAATGATATGAACAAGTGAAAAGTGCAATGAAACTGACCCAGTAGCTTAGGAGGAGTAATACAGACACTTGTTTGAGGAAAGACATACTGTATAGCCTTTTATTTTAGCAGGGATGATACTTTTGCTATTTGTTGGTACATTAATAAGATCACAAAAATTTAATTCATGACACAATGAGACATGTGTATGACATATCCCTCTATACCCGGATTGCAAATTCTTAATTCATTAAACATACAATTAAATTGTTTTAAAAAAAACATCAATTTAGTCATTGAAACATCATACTTAAATCTTCTACTGGTGATTTTACATTAACTTCTATTCTATCGATATTAACAATCTGAAGAAACTGTTCTGAAAAATCATATGTAAATGTTTAACACATTTATTTATCTATGACTAGAAACGTGAGAGTAGCTTCACTCTCATTAGTCTACTTGTCTTGGTTACTGTTGATTGTATTGACATTAAAACCTGTCTTATTTGACACCTTGATACAAGGCACAACATGTCTGAAAACATATCCCAGTGAACAGAATTACACAAAACATGACCACATTCAACAAACACTTGTGTATCTATATCCAAGTGAAAGAAGCCAGTTATGTTTTGTAAATTTAGAGCTTGTAAGTAAATCAGAGAGTTTACTGTGGTCCCAACATCTGTCTTTTTACACTTTGATAGATTTGTGATATGTGGCCAGTCAGTGTGCTATCAACTGATATCCAGAAATCATGGAAGTACTTCGTATTTGCATATTAATATACAGTACCAGGTAATGTATATAAAAAGGCAATCTGTCATAACATATCATGTCATCACCTTAAATTTATTTACACCAGTGTCACAGAATACAGTATCTGCTCTCACCTCAAACTTATCACCTTCTTGCCAAGATATTTAAAGCCGATACTAAATCCAATTGTAACAGAAACTTGGGCTCCCTGTATGGATAGTTGATTACATCTACACTGAAGTCAACAGTGTTACAAAATACAACAGCTTCTCTCACTCAAAATTTATCAAATTCAAAGTATTAAAAGTTCCATACTAGATTCCATTGTGACAGAAACTTGTGCGATCTCTGTTTAAATAGCTGATTACATCTATGCTAAGTCATTCTTATTTCCACATTGTAAATTTACTATCAATTTTACAAAGCACTCACATTGTATTTCCTATCTAAAATAAAGAGGGTGTCTGTATGTAAAGTTACACAATAGTCCTGTACACTGATCATTATTAACCTCAGAATAACTTTCATCCTCTTAATACAGATCCTCCCTACTCTCACATCTCTGATAGCATGGATGAGAAAGTGTGAAGCCTGATGGTTTGATGTTAATTAAGTTTTCTGTATTTTAAACCTGCCCTGACAAAGTGTGAGAAAGGAGATTTAAAATGGTGATGAATGTCCATACACAGCAGTATACATAGATAAGACATTTGACTTTAATACTTGATTCATATTAATATATTAATACTTGATAGATATGGATTTTGCTGAAGAAAGGCAGATACATATGTAGAAGACTGTGAGAAATTTTCCCCTATACATTATTATGAAATTCCCAATTCGCCTACGCCATTGAACATTCAAACATGAATTGTTGGATGATAAAGGCCATCAGTGTAATATTTACTGGATCAAGATAATATGGCTTACATTTTGTTTTAGTTTTAATTTCAACCTGGAAAACCAAAATTAGTATCACATCTATCAGCCAGCTACAAGTAAAATTGTGTTATACATGAACATACCTACCAGTCAATGACATGAACAAGTAAAGTCGTGTTATATATGAATACACCTACCAGTCAATGACATGAACAAGTAAAATTGTGTTATACATGAACACACCTACCAGTCAATGACATGAACAAGTAAAGTCGTATTATATATGAACACACATACCAGTCAATTACATGAACAGCAAGTAAAAGTGTGTTATATATGAACATACATACTAGTCAATTACATGAACAACAAGTAAAAGTGTGTTACATATGAACACACCTACCAGTCAATGACATGAACAAGTAAAATTGTGTTATACATGTACACAATTTGATTTCAAAATTATGAAATGGACCATGAAGTCAAAGATTACCGGATGAAGCATGGCATCTATAGACGACATCAATCAATTAAAAATCATTGATAGACTTACTATAGATGTATTACCCTGGTATAAGTGTAAAAAAAATCAGCTGATAAATTAAACGACAGTTTAGGGTCATGCCCTTGAAGAAGCAAACCTGACCTTGACACTTACCATTCCTTGTTTACACGGGTCACAAATCAGGAGCATACAACTATGTATAATGACATCACAGCTATCTTATTGGACTACTTATATACATCTTAATATCTCAAATGACCAAGAGCTTACATTTTACGAACAGATGAGTGCCCTTTTCCCTCCTAAGTGTGTACATCTGTGTTGTGACAAGTTAGCAATGTTAAGAGTATACAAAAGTTTTTTTACAAAAACATTTCAACAGGCCAGTAGCCATACTTGTATACAAAAACATCACAACAGGGTGACCAACACAAAGGTACATATTGAATGTACGACAGGTCTGCCATCGTAAGAACATTATTGCACGATGGCCACCAGTTGTATAAAATGACAAACATCACAACAGGGTGACCACCATCACAGCACATATTAAATGCTATCCAACATGACATCAGGATTGTAAATACCAAAATTTTCTCATTGAGAGGTATTGAATACAAGACATTAATTGTCAATGTGAAAATATGTGTTCTTCTGGGATGTACGAAAAAGGTAATATTGACAATGAGCCCCAGACCTGCTATTTATATCAGCTAATGAAGAAACTTACCACAGATCTTTTATTTATTGATTGATACAAAATGTTACATGAATTTGAAAAATAAAATGTTTTTGCCAAATTTAGTCCATGATATATATAACCACATATTCAGATAGCATTGCTTGTAACAAGTCTGCTTTTAACAGCTCCTTCAATTTTCATCACAAACAACAGCCACTATCCTAGTTTTTTTTAAAACAATCAGATTGAGAGTAACACCTTTTTCCACTTTTGGACCCTTCCCCTCAGCTCCTTTTACAGTCCTTTGATGAACCAATGAAGTTACATTACATTAAAATTCTGTTATTCCTAATCAAATAGCCTTGAAAAGGCAAGCTCCAATATTTCCTGTTTGATCACAACTTCTTTCAGGGAGTTATTTCTTTCATTTACAGAAAATGAAACTGCTTTTCTCTTCCTAGACCTATGACAAATTGAATGTAAATGCTGTCAATCATTCTTGGTGTCTTGACTTTTGAAGGAAAATCAGAGACAACTGATGGATTCTACCAAAGGCATTCAAAAGAGGAGCCAAATTATAAACACAATTTCCCACATTTTACATGTCATTTACATGTCATTTACATGTCAATTTTCAAGATGATTTTACTATTTATTCATACTTAATTCAAGATTCTAAGATGTACAATGTATCACATATCTACTCTACAATTCTCAGCAAGTTTATATCACAGCAGTAAAATTGGAATATCTACAGTGTGGCTACAGCACCAATAATCATTGTGGTCATCCTAATCCATTGGTTTGTTTATGGTCCTTGTCAATGTGGTCAGAATTGTGATGGTCAGATTCAGTACAGCCAGGACGATGACCATTGTGTCCAGTAGTCTTGTTATCAGGATGCGGATAGGGAAACGAGTCTCTAGTACTTGTGGCAACATATTCCATCATACATCCCATAGCTCCAAAATAACCCTGAAAGTGACACATGTTCAATACTAGATTGAAAGTCCAATGATGGATTCTGAATTTTAAATATGCCAGTAGTCATTTTCAAGTAAGTCCTCTTGATACCAATTTTATTTCTCAGAAAAATTATCTTCTTAATTAACATTAGGTAACACTGAATTAATAACAAATTTTTCTTGAAAATAACAATGCTGAGGAAATAAAACATTTAAAAAAATCATTTGTACCTGTTGTTGAGGAATTTGACAAATACAGATTTTTTTTCTGTTTTTGACTTTTTATTGTACACACATGTGTATTCCTAATGCAAATCGAAACATATACTGAATGAACAAGTGCAAATATTAGTATGACTCTGATGTTGACAATAACAATAAAGATAGTAGGAACAGGCCATAGTACAAGTTTGGGGTTTCATTAAAACGTAGAAAACATTTAACAGAAAATTATAAGCAGTGAAAATTTTATGTTTACTCGTTTAAATATCAAACTAAATTTTGTGAGTATAATAGAATATTACTTTGTTATTTAATGGGGAACCAATTATTTACCTTAATGTGTATCCTGAGTGTTTTGCTATATTTAGCCATAAAATACTTCATATCATACAATAAAAGAATTACCTCATGTTCCAAGAAAAGAGCCTTCATTGCTCCATCAGACCAAAACTCCATGGCGTATGCTAACAACTTCATAGAAATTGTATTTACCCGTAGAAAGTTTCCGACAAAAACTACACGCTCAATTTTCTGAAAAAAGAAAGAAGAAATATTTAATCCTTAATAAAGGATAAAGAAAACCATTGTTCATGTCGCATGTCATTATACTCAAAATATTATTCTTAACTGCAAAACACTTAAAAGCATTGATTATTAGGTCTTAACTATTTAATAGCACAAATCCTGGTTATACACCCAATGTTGTTTGTTATAGTTGTCAGTGTTGCTCTTGCTAAATCCTCCCCTGTTAAAAACAATTACCTCTGTAACAGCACACATTCTGGCTATAGATCCAATGCTGTTTGTTATGGTTGTCAGTGTTGCTCTTGCTAAATCCTCCCCTGTTAAAAACAATTACCTCTGTAACAGCACACATTCTGGCTATAGATCCAATGCTGTTTGTTATGGTTGTCAGTGTTGCTTAGCTAAATCCTCCCCTGTTAAAAACAATTACCTCTGTAACAGCACACATTCTGGCTATAGATCCAATGTTGTTTGTTATGGTTGTCAGTGTTGCTCTAGCTAAATCCTCCCTTGTGGATTGTTCTCTCTTTTCTTTTATGTGCATTTGTCCAAAGCTAAAACAGAGACAATGAAATAATTATTTTTAAATTCAACTTTATTTATTCTACATCATTTGTAAAAAAAGTTTTTCCAACTTCTATTAATCACTCTTGCTTGCCCAGAGGCATCTTACTGTGGAAGGAAACCAGCAGCATGCAGGGAAAACTCACATAGTAGGGCTGGTGACCCTTACATTTTCATGTCCGTTCTGGGAACTGTACCCTGGATGAATAGGTGAAAGTGCATGATCACTGTGCCACCTAACCACCTGATCCTATCATTCCATTTGATAAGAGTACCACAAAGCATACATGTATGCCAAACAGATGATAACAGAACTATATTCAGGTATCAGAATTCATTCATAAAAATGGAATTTAACCAACAACTGCTTTAAATAAATACAACACAAGAAGACACATATTCATGTCATGGTGACAAAGCCTAGCAATGTTCACAGATATAGGAAACAGTATTCAGTAGGGAGATAATGGCTAGTGAAATGGTAAATTGTACAGTAAAACTCACTTATGCCGAACATGCTTGATTGGCCAGCCATATCTGTGTTCATGAGCCCCATTGAAATTTTCAATTGAGCACTTCAGTGACGTTGCCACAGCCTTAAGCTTCACATGTACGTTAATGTTGCTCCATTAAACTTAACTCGTTCATGTATTCATTAAACATTGTAACAAATTCCCAAGTTGATGATGTTACAATATTTTAAGATGCTGCAATGTTGATGAACGGGTTGATGAAAGTTGCATAAAAATATCTCAAATCTCAAAATATGAAATAGAGTTATCATTGTACAATACTTTCACATAAATGCATGTGTGTGGTAAGTGTTTAATTTTCATCATCATCAACTCCTTTAATACCGTCATCTCTTTCCAAAAGCCCAGTAACTTGTCTCTGTTGATGTTGTCAAGTTTTGTTGATAGTATGAGTATCTGGAGAGTAATTTCATGTATCTTTACAGCAGTTTTGCTGATGTATAGTTGAATTTACAGCATATTTCTAGTATCCATATAACATTCCATGCCTTTTGGAAATGAGTTTTGAAAGATTTCCATAACTGAATGCATCTTCTGACTTGTTCCTATGACTGTTGTCATAGACACATATACAATGAACAAAGGGAAACTTTTGTGTCAGTAGAGAGAACTAGAACACTGACAGGTCAGCAAGGACCTTGCTATAGGGCTAGATATTCCTCCCTCCCTCACCCCTTAAACACACACACCAGACACTGACAGAATACTGGCAAGACCTTAGGTACACTCTGCCACAAAAGTCAAGAAAGACTGTTACGAAAAAAAAAATGAAATAAATAAACTGAACACATTCAACAATCTGATTTTTTAAATTTATAATAACAGTGACCTTGAGCTGGGAACATTGGATATAAAAAACAATTTCTCAAAAAAGCACTGTTGGTAAGGAAGCATTGTATGAAGTTTTATTTAGATCATATTAGGCAAAGCAAACTTAAGTTATCGAACAGATAGTGATTTTAGTATATAGTTACAATGACCTTTGACCCTAGGACATAAATGGCAATCTATCTTAAACAAGCACTTTTGGTTAAGAAGCATTGAATCAAGTTTGAATTAGATTGGGTACAGCAAACTGGAATCATTCTATAAAATGGATTTTCCGTTATAGCAACAATAACATCAACCTTTGACTTCTGGATCTGAAAAGTAAGCTCTTGCAAGCATGTTCAGTGACAAAGTGTTGTATACAGTTTGAGTTTGATTGGCCAAAGTTATGTAATGAAAACTAATTTTCTGCTTTGAACAGTAATCTGGACCATTACTGAAAAGCAGTCCAAAGCAAGTCATTTTTGTTAGGAAGGTATGAGGTGTAAGTTTGATATTTCATTTGGTCCCATTTTCTTCGACTTATCCATGTTTTACTGTAAATCTCTAGGTATGCACCAAATGGATAACAATAATGTCATTTGATCATTTGATCATTTGCTTGAAATGCACAAGTGAACAAGACCATTATGCATATATATATCTACTATAAAGCAAAATGTTTCATCCACAATAATTACTTTCTCCTACTCAGGAGTAAAGATCTGTTCACAAATGACAAGGGATGATTAATCAGAGGTGTACAATTTAGATTAAAACCAAGGCTTTTCACTATTCTTATCCCTATCTTATTTTGGTACATACAATAAAGATCAAGCAATGTCAGTGCTAAATAAAGCACAATTTCTATGCAACACACATAAAAACTAAAATCTCCCAAATACAAATAGTTCACCTTAAATTTCAATTATTTTTTTCAATAATGATGTTTGTATTGAATTTTTGTTCAACTCTAATTTTTAATAATGTAGACTTATTTTTTAAGAACTTTTTAAAATCAATTATCATGAATAAAACATTAGATGTTTACCTGCTAGCTACAATATCACCAGACAAATGGAACCTATTGTAGTCTCCACCATATATATCCTTGACTCTTTTGTCTACCTTGGTATTGTCTCCCTTGGATGCTAATGCTATTGCCTCCTCAAAAGTTTCACAGTTGGTGAGAAGACAACACAGACCGAAGAAAGTTCCACCTCCAAGACTGAAAAGTAGACATCATCACAAATGATTTAGGCAATGTACCCACAAATGTACATTGTAATCTTAATTAAGTTCTTTATCAATGCAAATCTGTTAGATATAAGCTTTACATTATAAAATAACAGTTAACAGTTTAAGAGTTTCAGATTCTGGAGGAGTTTTTCTGACAACAATCAAAATGAATTTTTATTCAAGTTAAATCAAATTGTAATGGACAAAAGTAACAAAATTACTGTACACCATAACATGCATCTACATGACACTTGGGGGAAAAAAAACAGAATATTTAAAACACTGGGGTCGTTTTTGGAAGTAATGTCATAATTATAGATATTAAGGTAGTTACCTTGTACCACTGACTCGCTTATAGTCATTATAAGCACGAACAGCCAGTATACTGACCCCTGACCCCACATTGACCACCAAATAGGGATAAGGATCGTGGAAGTCAAATGGAACTTTTTCACATGAATCAGGGTCCCCTGGATTCTTCCAATAATAACACTCACTCAGGTTGTGTCGGTCAATATAGTGAATACCCTTTATCAAGCAATCCAATTCATCAAACTTGTACATACTTAGATTTACACGCTGCAAAACAAAAAGGAAGTCTACTTTAGAACATGCAAATGCTACAAATACATAAAAACAAAAACAAGATTTTTAAACTATTTCATAATGATTTCAATATTAATAATTGTTCATTATTTGTAACATGACTTAGTAGTTTTCTCATTCATAAATTTAACAAAGTGGATAGAAGATTGCACGTTCACAGAAATTGAAATATGTACATGTTCATACATTATATATAGATATCCGGTACAAACATGGAAGAACACTGAAAGCCAATACAGTTACATCAAAAATATACCTGTTTAAACTCTTCTTCAAACTTGTAGGCTCCTCCTCCTGTTGCACATATCCCTGTTGCTAAGCTAGAAAAGTTTTTGGCTTTAGCCAGATCAATAAACGCAGACATCTCACATGTTGGAAACCTTATAAAATGTAAACTTCCTGTCCGTCCTCCAATAGTCTGATTGCACATTTCTAAATGCACATCCCTGATACCTGTTTTTCCATATGCGACATTTCCAATTAGATAACTATGAATAACTTTTATAGTTTCTTTTTCTTCTTCTGCTTCTTGTGCTGTCCTGTCCTTAGGCTCAAAATAAATCAGTTTCGTTAATGTCCCTCCAATATCCATTCCAAACCATGGCATTGCTAGAGGAACAAGATAAATTATGAGTGTAAAAATGATCATACTAAGTAAATCATACAAATAGCAGTAAAATTGTAAGTGTAATAATATATTCGTAATTTTATATCTATCAGTCTTTAACACATAATTCAGTTAGTTCCTGTACAAGCATTATATAAAATTACCTTTGATAATAACCATGACAGAAGATGCTAAAGGCTAATTCAAGTGGTGTTACCTTTAACATCAACCTCCCAAAGTAAGTCAATACAAAATAAAAATAGTATAACTTGAATATAACTTGTGACATTTCCTTACATCATAAATCTAATTCTAATTTTTATTCATGGAAAGGAGTAACAGATTAATGACTGAAAAGGTAACATTGTTCTACATATGTGTAATGTGTATCACTACAAAACTATGCAAACTTAAAACTTAAATACCACTCTAATTAAGTTGTATGAATAAATGTTTAACAAACAGCTACAACATAACACATTGATGAATTATTGATAGATTAAGAATGACGAAAGAGTTTTCCTGCATTCAACAACATCTTCCTCGTGATCATTGCCACATCATGCATGAGTTTTCCCAATGGTAAATACGACATTAAGACCTATAACTGTATAAGATGTGAAGTTCAAGATGGGTCCAAAGTTTACATGTATTACTTTGTCTACTTCTAAGAATAAACTATAATTATTGTTCAACCCATTTGAATTCATGTTTTGTATCCTTACGCGGTCTGACACAGCATCGGGGACTAAGAATGTCATAATCTATTGCCGAGCTTGACGCCTCCGTGTCAGAATCTGTGCCGTTATCCATCATCCGTCCCTTACAAAGCGTGTGCGATGTATATATATATATTCATGTAGGTAGGGTCAAATGTTCCGCTTCATTACTCTCATTGACACCATTTATGCACCATGCGACACATGCACTTGGCCAATTTGTTCACTGCCATCGTTGTGTATGTCACCTGTCGTGTAGAGGAAGTACTGTAAAGGAATCAACACGTATAAGTCTTCAGATAAAGCTTGAACCTGTCAACTTAACACTGAGATGTCTGTGTATCTAACATACAAGCATGCATGCCCTCTCTCGATGGCTTTTACCGGAAGTTAAAACTGGTTAGTACAAATTCCTGATTTCGGATAAAAACGAACGCAATATAGCTCTACAATTCGCCAACAATTTGATGAGTGATTTTCTTTTTTATCCAAACATTAAAAGCATACGAAGTATAGTTGTGTTAAATTGATCAGCAATTTTGCAAGACACGATATTTCTTTTTCCTTAATGTGGTTCAGGACAGGAAGTGGGCGTGTCATCGAACCCGATACATTCTGTACTCAGTAGTTCAACCAGTTCGCGGTCCATCTTACAGAACCATAGTAGATGTAGTATTCCGCCTTCTGTCATCTATTGATCTCCAATTAAAATGTTGGGTCATGGTAGTGACGCTTGAGCTTCTATGCTGACTACACTCCTGATATCTGTAATTCTGGTCTTCCAGAGTGACTTCCCTTCTTTTCACGTCGTCAATACATAGCAGATGGTAACCTAAAATGGATACTTACCTCGCATACTCCACGAACGTAAGGACTTTGGCCTTTTATGCATATTCTTTGATTGATATTGACGAGAGCTGCATATTTCTGTGAGTGTCGCAATTTCTTGTTAATACTTAATGAATCTTTCACAAATTTCTTATATAGGCGCCCCTTTGTCCTTCTTTGTATCCTTGAGATTTTGGGACTGATCAGAAAAATAAAAGTTGCTGAGAGGTGACCATATTTGATTTGGCAGTCAATGATTATTATCACTATCTCTTTGAGAGGATTCTATAAATTTCATATATTTCAGGATTGAAAAGAAAAGAAGAACAAATAAAAATCCAATAATAGTTGGCACCAAGATCCCTCATTTGAAAATGATAGAAAAAGCTAGATGGCTGACATGCCATCACTTTTGATCTTGACAATGTAAACCTGTTAACCTTCTTTCTTATGTTTCATTGTAGGTTCCCCTCGGTCCCTATATAATAAATTTATATATTATTACATGATGAAGTTGAGTTAACCAGATTTAAGACTGAAGACCAACATCACAAGGTTCAAAGTAAAGATATTATTAACCATCTCTTGACTGGTAAATAGTTTCTTAACATAATAAGTTCATCAATAAGGAGTCTCTTGACCTAAAGTCAAGGTCGGAGATCAAGATTTGAATATTTCTATAAGGAAATCTATGTATCAAATCAATAAAAAATAAACATGGTAGCGCATGATCACTCAGATGACTGAATTAGATGAAGAGTCAGTATACAGGAGAAAGTGAAAGATGACAAGGATCATAAAAAAGAGCCCATCACGTCAAGTAACGCATAGTTAGTTCCTATAAGTATGCCAATCGTCTGTTGGTAGTTCTTATCACCTAACTCGAGATGTTGTCAAACAGAAAGTCGATAATATTTACGATTTCGTTCTCCAAAAACTTTTGATATTTTTTACTTCTTCTGGAAAACTACTGAACCAAGTTCTATGAAATTTCACCAAAACCTTCCATGACTAAAGGTATGGTAGAGTCAAGCACTCTTCATGGATGGAAAGGTCGTCAGATGCTTTAACGAAATTGTAAATTTTATGACCCAAGGGTTTCACATTTCTCCCATCAACATTTGGGTTAACTTAAGTACTGGTATAAGCCCTGCTTCCAGGGAATTCTACACCTCTTATAAATGTTCATATCTAGACTGCATGTTCTAATTTATTTCCCCTAAATCTCTTTATTACACCCCGGAACCGTCAGATCCTCAAATTCGTTGGTATCTGATATTTATCTATCATTTTACTTTGATCCGTCGTCTTCCTGCAGACTGAATTCACGAGCCATGCAATATCTTCATGGGCCTTCGGCCCATATCTTATATCGCCAACATCAAACCCTTCGGCTTCGTAGCCGGAAAAATATCGGGATAAATGTCGTCAACGTTGGATTTAATATTACCGTCAGGTACAACATCGTCAAGGAACCCGTCCCCAAACTCGGAGCTGCATCTATAACCTCCTCATTAGACTAGTCAATTTAGCCCCGATTTATCCAAACCTCAAAAAAATTGCAACAAATGCTTTTTTCACATATTTTGATAGATTGGGGTCTTATAAAACACAGGTAAAAAATCGTCCCTTCAAATAAGGTGGGAAACCCCTTTTCGGGGTCAGTATATAGGACACCTCGAATTTTGCATGTAATCATCGATGCTCTGCTCCATTTGCGAAAATTACAATCAAGGTCATCTAAATAAGAACACGTGCAGGGCTGCCGTATTTTTATAACTTCATTCCCATGAAATAATGGAGGCGCAATATATTAATCCCGAATAGTGACCGTAAAAATTGGCGGGAAACATTTTGTAAAGGTCATTATAAAGGACACCTTACAATTTCTATATAATCAATGACCCCAGTTGTATTAGATGCGTTTAAAATAATGGTCATCTAAATATGAGTATATTTGTGGTAAACTGACTTACAATTAAGTGCATTGCTATATTGTTTTACAGTGTGTAAGAATATTCCTATATTATGACTGTTAAATATAGCCGGAATGTCTCTGCATTGGTCATTATATAAGATGTTTCCAACATGCTACTGACTGAAGAAATCATTATCAGTAAAATTATGATAAATTCAAATAATGTCTGTTAAAATTGTACAAACATCCGGGCAAACAAGTGGCTGTTGTCGTTAAAATATATATCACGGGAATCTGAATTTACTAAATTTCTTCTTGCAAATCATGTACAGTAATATCGTCTGTGTTTGTACAGTTCAGACCATGACATTCTCCACACGCCATGGAACAGAACAATCCATTCTTGCGACAGGAACATCTCAGTGTGTCACAGTGCTGTTTGCAGTTACAATGAATGACTTTCAGAAGTTCCTGTGGTGCAGGAGTAGCTGCTGTGTATACGGGAAAAAGTTTACTGTCTTTGACATTCCATCCATAGTTGATCACAACTAATGTCTTTCCTGACCACTTTTGGCACTGGTATAATACACGAAGACTGTGCTGATACAGTGCTTCAGCGGTTGGGGGCAATGTGTGTATTTGTAAACAAGACGTACCCGTGGACGTCTTAGAAACAAACTTTCTCCACGTTGTCCGCGATGTATTGTATGCAATGGTCTTCCTATATAGAAATATCACTTTCTGCATTTACCGTTGCTGCACATCTTTCAAATGTCTGAACCTCTGTGTAGGAAGCACAAAAACCCAGCTTATTCAGAGTATCCAATAAGAATCTGGAACCAAACTGGTGGTGAAGTTGTACACCAAGTGAAATTTGTAAAGGCGCCAAAAAGTTTCTTGGTTTGATAGCCTGCATAATTGCATGTCCAATCGAAGATATCTTCAAGTCTTTATCTTTCACAAGAATAAAGGAAGACAAAAACGTATAAAGAGATGGAGGGAGGTATTCAATGTGTTTCTCTTCAGACAAAATTTCTTCGGCCGATGGATAGTGAGTTTTTGAAGTTTCTACAGCACGAACATCTTCTCTTATTAATGCTGCAGCAGCTTTGATTATGGCACTTTTCTCTTCTTCTTGGTTTTTGGATTTAGGTCTTTTATAAAAATCATGCAATCTAGATTTTGCATTTGATGTTAATGTCACTATGTTTTGCTTTTCGTTCATTTCAGTTATCACGATCTCATTTCCAAAGTGTTCTTTTAGACGGTCCTTCATGTATTGTTGACCATATGCATTTTCTTCTCCAGAATGTTCAGACATCTTCTCAACAAGATCAGATATACTGATTTGTGAATCTGCATTTTCGCGCAAGTACGACGCAGCATAAAGGAAACTTTCATTGAAAGTGGAAGGTCGTCCTTTTTTTGCAGAATACGAAACCCCTGGTTTAGACTTGAACGTTCTAAAGTTCGTACTGCATTGATGATGGTATATAGCATCAAATGCATGCAGATCAGAAGTGAATTGAATTCAAAAACTTCGTTTCCCCACTCATCATTTCTTTGTTTGCACAGTTCTCTTAGTTTTTGGTCGCAATTATCAGTTTTTATTGCAGGTGCGTTCGATCCGCATTTGAGTCCCGATTTCTTTGCACTTAAACCGCAAAATATGCACTGGCTTTTGTAATCGAATGTGCCCTGAGACCTTAAAGCTGTCGTTGAAAGTATACTGTTTGCAGAAGCATTTTTAATAGCAGTATGTGTATTTAAAAATCTGTTTATTTCCCTATTGTTTGTGAATGATTTTCGACATGATATATGTACTTTATCTCCAGGTTCAACAGAGACATTAGTTTGTCTAAGCTGATTAGCTTTCGTTATATTAACACACCCTTTTGCTGTTAACGTAACTGCGTTGTCACACCCAACTTCTTGATTGCAGATTGAACAAAGCGACGAGGTTGTATCCATTCCATGTATACTGAAAATATCAAATAAATCATTTTAGCACCAAGGAACGTATATTAACTTTCGTGTTAAAATGAAAAACGAGATTCTGGCAGATTTACATTACTTCGATGTTTGATGCTTAAGGGCTTCCATACTTATTTTTTTCCGTCAAAACCTCGATATGTTAGATATTGATGAAATTTTCAATTAACATGTTGTGTTACTTAACTCCTTCATAAAAGCTCTATGAAATAAGTTTATTTCATGTCTAGATATCTAAATTTGATATTTTACCGGTATGTTGACAATTCTGTTCTATTTTTAGAATCTCGCGATGTTATGATCAGCTTTCCGACAATTTTGTTTAAATTTCATTCTTTCTTCATATAACTATATAG